TAAACCTAAGCTTATGTCCCACGGCTAACCAAGAGAGGGGGGGGGGGGGGAATTGGTAATTTAAAAATTAATCCCTCTTTTTATTTTTTTAAAACTAAAAAATTAAACTTTAATGAGTTTTGTAGAAATAGATTTTTCAACCACAATTTTTAAAAGTAAAAACACAAAAATAAAAAGACAGCAGAAAAATAAAGACACGAGGTTTATAGTGGTTCGGTCAAAACCAGACCTACATCCACTCCCCGGAGGCACCCTCCGAGTATTGCACTAATACCAATAGTGACTCTCCTTTTGCACCCACAGCAAGGTGGATAAGCCTTTACAAACACTCTTTCCACCACTACCCGGTGCGGCAGAGAACCATCGTCCTTTTATACTATCCCCAGTGTTGGCAGAGAACCTTCGTCCTTTTACACTTTTCCGGTGTAGGTAGAGAACCCTTCGGCTGTTCACACTCTCAAAATGTGGGCAGGAACCCTTTGGCTGTTCACATTCTCCAAGTGTGGGCAGAGAACCCTTCGGTTGTTCACACTCTCCGAGTGTCGGTAGAGAACCGGATCTCCTTGACAGAAGGAATAGAGAAAAGAGTAAAATAATCACAAACCAAGAGTAAAGACTCTTACGTTTGAGTACCAAGTGAAACCTTCATGCTCCAATGATAAGAAATCTCCTTCAAACACTCTCTCACACTCTCTCCTTGACTCTTCTTTCAATTGGCATGAAAAATCAGTAGACATAAAGTTTATGTGACAGTTTAGTTTGAACTATTTATAGGAAAGACACAAAAAATCGTCAAAAAACTACAAATTTTCAAGTCAATACGAATTGGATCATCCTGTACGATCGTGGATTGTCCTAGACGATTTATTTAAATGCGTTGAAAATGAACCTAATGTATATGGGTACAAAATGACTTTGTACACACACATCATCCTGTACGAACTAGGTTCGTCCGGTACGAACGGTTATTCTATAGGTCGGTTCCCAAAAACTGCAGAACGACACTTAATTTTCAGAGTCGATTCACTTCATCCTGGGACAAAGTTAAGGTTCGTTCGGACGAAAGTTTTTAGAGAGCAAATCTTCCCGGGACGAATACACTTCGTTCTTGAATGAAAATTTTCCAGAGAACATTTCGTCCTGAGATGAATACACTTCATCCTGGATGATCAGGACATAGAAAATTTTTCTTCAATTCCTGTTCGTTCCATTGCTCTTACGAGGAGATAACTGATCTGGTCGTCCCGTACGAACTATGTTCGTCCTGTACGATCAGTACAAATTTCTCAAAATCTCCTAAAGCGTATGTGTGTATTCACTTAATTACAATCACTCCCTCTCAAATTTAATTCAAAGAAAAATACAAGTTTTTAAATACACAAAGTATCGCATGCTGAATTTGATTTGAAGTCTTTGTAGTGTGGAGTTTGATTTTCTTGAAATGTTAGTACACACAAGAGCAAAAATAACTCTTCCAAAAAGTGTTAGGAGATAACTATACATAAAACAATAATATTTGAAATCATCAAAACTATACAAGTTGCAAGAATATTGATATGTCATCATGAAATTATCTTGATCGGACACGAATCTCGAGGCAAAATCTACCCACAAATTTTAAAAATTAAATTCAAGAGCAGTTGAACTCCGATTTTATCAAGCTTACAGTCAAACTGAGTGTCTCAGAAATACGAATCCAACGACACCAAATTCGACTCAATCCGAGCCCAAATCGAAGACTCGAAGTGCTGTTGGAAGTTTCAAATCATAATTTGAGTTACCAAACGGTCTCCAACTTTAATGAGCTTATACTCGAATCGAACGGATCGACGAGACGATTCCAACGAGCCCAAGATCACTGAATTCCGAAATCACTAAGGCCTCGAAATGCCTGACCAACGGTCCATGATCAAGGAGTTCAATATCGACCGTCCATCCAACCACTCCCCATTTACCCTTGATCTCTCACCTATTTACGGGCCTTGCCACTCCAGAAAAATTATAAATAGACCCCTCATTCCTCATAAGAGGGGACCCAAGCAAGAAGAGAAGAGGAGAAGAGAAGGAAGAAGCTTCTCCTCGACCATCGTCGGAACCTCGCCGGAGCCTCTCCGGACCACCGCTAGAGTCTCGTCGGACCACTGCCGGAGTTTTGCCGAACCACCACATCAAGGCCCGACGTTCAGGCCCGACATTCTGCTGAAGGCCCGACGTTCAGGCCCGACGTTCTGCTGAAGGCCCGACATTCTGCTCAAGACCCGACATTCTGCTCAAGTCCCAACGTTCTGCTGAAGGCCCAACGTTATGCTCAAGGCCCGACTTTCAGGCCCGACGTCTTCATCTGAGGTCCTCACCTTTACCAGAGGCCCTTATCTTCGCCAGATCATCATCAAAAGCTGTGTGCTCCACCAGAACATCACATGAGGCCCAGACTTCCGCCGGACCACAACTTGAGGCCTTGAGCTCCACTAGGCCACCACCTGATGCCCACAGTTCTCCCAGAATACTCCCAACTACGGTCCTTTCGACCTCCGTCCCCTACTATGGTCCTTCCGATCTCCATCAACAGACAACGGTCTTTCTGACCCCGGTTTCCTGCCG